TAAAATTTTTTAGAATCTTCAAAATTTGAAAAATTTGTAAGATTCTCAAAATTTTACAAATTTTAAACCTCAAAATTTTAAAAATTTTCATGATTTTCGAAAGTTTAGAAATTTTCAAAATATATCAAGATTCAAAATCATCAAAATTCTAGAAATTTTCAAAATTTTTTCGATTTATAAAATGTTCTAAATTATTATCACACGCGTGGCAACACGGTAACTAGTCAGCATGGCGAACGACGCACCTGTCTTAAATAGGGCCAATAATCTTCCGCCGAGGGCGTGGTCAGCGGGAGGCGTGGTTTTGCCAAAATATTTGTCAAATTACATCTACAACTCAAAAACCGTTTGAGCAAATGAGTTGATTTTTTCTTTGATGGCTTGTTCTTTCAGTTCTTTATGCCTTTTATTCACATACTTTCAAAAAATCGTTTTCCTTCAAAAGAAAAAGAAAATTTTTATGCGAAAAATAAATTATATGTGGAAAATGAGCAATAAAGGACGTTCCTTTATCGATTCATAATGCAATCACTTAATTTCATGTCTTTACGATTATTTGTTTCGAAGCTGGGACTGTAAAAAAATTGGCAAAAAAAAGTTGTCATTTTGACAAAAAAACATGAGATTATCATAAATCAGTCATTTTTATACACACCCTGAAATAATCAGACAATAAGTGCTCATAATACTGCTCCAAACGCACAGTTGAAAAAAAGGGACGTGCGACCTTAAGGCACGACTGTTTACTCCCGGTTATTCACCTTACATCGGGAATTCACTTGACATTTTGCCAGAAAAAGATTTACTTATCATTCAAGTGGTTAAATATCTACTCCAAAACTTAATATAATCTCTATATAATCATTTTTGTGGAAAGATACAGATGCCCCAATTTCTTTATTAATAAAGGCATTGTTGGGGAAGGACTCTCAAGTTCTGGATAATTCCTCCTTAAGCTCACTAACAATGATAAAATATTCACAGTTTACAAAATAGCTTGTAGAACGTCTAGATGTCACATAACTCTTCACAGTTCTTTTCCATAATCACTCAAAAGAAAATGTAAACAGAAAACAGCTGGCTTATCTCTAAAAATATATACCTGGAATAATCAACAAACAAGAACATAAAGTGCCAACAATGATAGGCATCGAATGGAAACATAAATCCTTAAACACAAACAATTAAAGTCTTGTTATCACACAAAAGGAATTGATTATAGTCTAGACTTCTTATCGTCATATTTAAGAGGATGAATGGGCGAGAAAGACGCCTTCCGGTTATTACAGTCAGCAGTTATAGGCCACCCAGCAAGCGTTTCTGATTATTGTCAGGAATACTTTTATCTAGTACCATGTCGTCAGTCATTTGCATCCGAGGGTGGAGTCGTGTCACCGTCATCTACATTGGCGCTTTTAAGTGAATTCTGGTAGCGATGTTTTTCGATATTTATGTCACCGGATATCCCAAACTATATTTTTATGATTTATATGCTACATATTTTGAACGTATAGTAACATTGAACTATTCTATTGCAGAAACCTGTCAGGAATGCTACCTATGGTATGAGGGGCAACGATTTCAATTACCCTTCCGATTTTCTTAAAGGTTTTTGTACCGCTAGTTTATCAAAGTACTGTTATTCATTGCGTTTCATTTTTTTACATATTTTGAATTCTTGATGTACAAGTACCTAGAATATAGAGATATTATGTTTTTTGGATGTTATATGACATATACATCACGAAAAACCATGTCAATCATTTCCGTCAGTCTGTCTGTCTGTTGGTCTGTCCGCTAATTTTATAACCGCCTATAACTGGAGAAGTGCTGCTCGGATTTCGATGAAATTTTTATTGTGTTTTACTACTCTACTAAGAACACAAAAGCTTTGCAGTTTTTGAAACTCCAGTGGTGCCGGAGCTAGGGGCAAAGACACTAAAAAAAATAATAACCACTCAAATTTTGTTTTTGATGTTTCAGATGCTCCTGATCATTTTAAGAAAAAATCTTCCAGGGATTGAAAATCGGGGGTTGTAGGGGTGAGGGAGAGTATATAACATTTTTTTTGGCAGTAATATTTTCATACACTTCCAACCCCACTGATTTTACGCACGTGTCAGTACATATTTAACAAATCATAGATTTACTCGTACATCTGCCCTTAAAATGTTTATAGACGCAACACGCGGTCGCGGTCTGCCACGACGGAACCTTCATACGCTGACCACCGTCTGCGTGTCTACGTCTGATTGACTCTGACTGCATCGCCGATTCTCTCGAGTTACTATACTAGTGTGGTTCAGTAATGTTGTTAGATGGTCGATAAAGCCGCCAAGAAACTAGCATTAGCGTAAACAGCCTGTTTGGCTGACTTAATCCATTTATTTTTTTGTCATAGATATTTGTAGCCAGTTCAGAGGGACTAACTTCACAACATAACATAAGAGTTCAGAGTCAACCTACTTGACGCTATTTTTTAAGAATGCGGCACACATATACCTATGTATACGAAAAGCATGTACTGTAAATTTGGAAATTTAAACACGCTTCCACAGCCAGACTCTTAAATGTCACTAAAAATACTTGCATAATGACTTGGCTCGACTAAATTTCATAATTATACCGGATTATGCCTTATGTCCTTCGATGCAACCGGATCTTTGTTTTCATAAACAGATAAAACCGTCAGCGCTTTTTTTCGAAGAAATATTGTAGTCTTTTAGTCATTTTTTTATGGCAACGAGCTTTTTTGATGCTAGGAAAGTTGATTCCACCCACATATCTTTTCCTCGGGTATGCTACTTTTTTTTTAAACGTCAATAATCTTATCAGTTGTCATTTACTTCAAAAGTGGTGATTATTTGGATATGCTAATGCATAAGGCAATAATCTATAATAGGCCATTTAGTTTTATCACAATCTATTTTTTATCAAAATATTAGGCAAACAGCGGTTTAAAAATTGCACTCAATCAGTATATCAACGTTATCAAGAAGTATTTTTCATATTTTATTTTATTTTTTTGTTTTTAATAACATACAATGAAACTCCATATAATTATGAGCTTATTTTGTTCTTTCATTTATTACCACACTATCACAATAATTTTTTTTATAAAGGTCAGATATGCGTATAGTATTAGTCACTCATGAATATTATCTAATTTTATTAATAAATAATTAATAATCTTATGGCATAACGTAAATACTCGACCTTCCAAATACAAAATGCAGATCCTAGTTCAATGTCTCCAAAATCAAGGTTTGTCTTCATCAGAGTTCCCCAAACTTTTTTGTGTCGTAGACCCCTTGCCATGTTTTTCCGTGTTGGGTAGACCCCCTACTTACTTGATATTGATTTCCTGTAAATTTCTAACTGTAGTGAAGTTTAGTGTTAAAAACTTAAAGTAAAAACACATGTTAATTCATACATTTATTAATTGAATTTAAATTAAAACTACTCAAAATAAAATTTTGTATCTGTTATGTAAAATATACGTAACATTAAATAAACAGGTGTCTGACAAAAAAGTGCCCGCATTGGAAATAAGTGCCCGCACTGAAAAAAAAATAAGAGGGATAAAATAAAAAAAAAGTGAAAAATAATAAAAAAAAGTTTTTTACTTAAAATAGTACAATAAGCGAGTTCGTTTATTAATTATAACATAAACGTATGTTCTACAATAATTTTAGTGTGTACCTATCCTTGAATTTTCAGAATAATTTAAAAAAAATATTTTCTATAAAGGTTCTTTAAAAAAATCAATGCGGGCATTTATTCCCAATTGGTCAGACACCAATAAACATAAAATAAACTATAAATAAAATAACATAAGCAAAAAGTCAATATTTTTTGTGAGAAGGATGAACCTGATGCTTTAATAATATATTATCAACATTTGGCGCCAATTTTGTAAAGGTCAATCTTAAATCTCCTCGGCTAATGATGTCCAGTCTGTTTCCTTTTTTCGTTAGGAGATTAGTAACATCGCTTAAGCCCCTTTCCACTAGGTATGACGATGGAAAGGAAATTAAAAATTTCCTCCCTATATTCCATAATACGGGATAAGTAACAGGTATGTTGTTTTGCAGCCAGAATTGCTGATATCCGTTTTTAAACTGAACCTTAAGTTCTTCGTTTATACTTAGTTCAGTCAGTTCCTCTTGTATTATGACATTCGTTTCTTCTATGTCACCATATGGATTAATTATCCTCGTTGGTATTACCATAGTCAAAATATCCTCAAACCTAGATTCAAAATCTGAATAGAGGGCATTTAAATGTTGAACGTAAGTTGAAACGTCGTCTTCCTGGCAGCTTGTCTGTGACAAATTGGGGAACTGAGAAAATTTGCCCCGTCCAATATTTTGCTTCATTAGTTTAACGCAAGAAACGCTAATAAGATGGACTTTGTTTTAATTAAATTTAAACTGTCGCCTTGTAATTGCAAATTAACCATATTAAATTTTGTAAACAAATCTGTTAAATGTCTGTTTCCCTCTTCATTAAATTTTCTTTTAAAATTTTATCTTTAGTATCCAGAAATTCTAAAATAGTCTCAAAAAGTGCAAAAAATCTTGTCAAACATAAGCCTTTCGACAGCCAGCGTACTTCAGTGTGAAGGAGTAATTGATGAAAGTGTTCGTCATTTTCTTCACACAACTGCGCAAATTACCGCGTATTCAACGCGTTGCTTCGGATTCGGTTTACTGCATCAATGACTAAATGAAGTGATTCATGCAATCTAAGACTCAAATTTTTAGCAACTAAATGTTGTCGATGGATGACGCAATGTATTGCTAACACCCCTGACACATTTTGTTTTACATAGCTTATAAATCCACGATAACGTCCAACCATGGCAGGTGCTCCATCTTTAGCTACTGATATTATATTTGATAAAGGAATTGCTTTTTCAATGAAGTAATTCTTCAAAACATGAAATATTGATTCACCTTTAGTGTCGGTTATCAAAGTTCTTGCGAAGTGCAGTTCTTCGTAGATTTCTTGATTCATAATAAAACGAACATATGCCAATAATAATGGTGCAAAAGTTGACTCGTCCAGTTGTATAGAGAAATGGGTCGTTTGCAAATAATTACATACGAAGCTTTCAATATCAGAACTCATTTCATCAATACGTCTTTCAACAGTATTGTTGCTTAAGGGAATTCTTTTAATGATATCAGATGCAGGTTTGTGTAAAACAGTTTTGAAAACCTGTTCAACGGTTGGCAAAATTAACTTCTCTCCGATAGTATGCGGTTTTCCGGATTTTGCTATAAGTAACGAGATATTGTAAGACGCCCGCAAACCATCATCACTTCTTTATGACGTCGAAGCGAACATTCTGTCCAGTGTAGGTCTCTTATGAAATTTATCTTTGAGTGTTTGAAAGTATTTCAAATCTTTCTCTGTTTTATCAGGGTGGCATCTTCTCAGATGATCTTGCAGTTTAGATGGTTTCATAGCGCCATTGCCCAAAACTTTGTTGCATAAAAGGCACATAGGCGATTGTTTGTCCGGCAATGATGGAATGAAGCCAAATTTCAAATAATCAACACTGTACTGTCTACATTTCTTTTTAGATTCGGACATGGCATCAGTCATCTGTGGGCAAAATTAAATTATTTAAAGACAGAAAATCCAGCAGCTGTATATTAAAAATATTTTTTGATTTTTCCGAAAACATTCCATAATTCGAACATATTGCAACAATTAGCTCGAATTACGGAGATTGCACTGTAATTATATTACCGATTGCTAAAACTTTCAAAAAGAAACTATTGAGGGGTACTCTTGTAATTTTGCATGATTGAATATTTAACTACTAATAACTAAAGTCATGATTGGCGTAATTTATCTATCTTTGATAACGACGAGTACAAAACTAAAATTTAATAAAAAATAATGTACTTACTTTTCTCCAGCACTCTCAAACAAAATAACACTGATTCACTATAATTTGTGTGATATACTATCTGTTTATATTTTTTAAAATATTTTCTTAGCACTTTCCTTTTCAAGATTCAGGAAACGAATAAACGTAATTGTCCCACATTCGTATTTATAGAGTGACGAATTGAACAATTGAACCAACATCCTACAACTTACACAATTTTATAAACATATATAATAAATTTTTTACTTCATAGGTACTTTTATAAATAACGTATATGTTTTGATATTATAAGATAGTATGATGTAAGTAAATAGGTACTATCAGTGTATGTGTTGAGATCCACTATCGTGGACCCCTATATTCATTACATGGACCCCCAAATTTTCTTTCGCTGACGTAGACCCCTTGCAGGTTGTCATAGACCCCTAGGGGTCGATTTAGACCACTTTAGGAATCAATGGTCTACATCGATTCATGTTCTTGTAATCCCGTGACTTGAGGATAAAAATACACTGATTTATTTATTAACAGCTATAATAGTTTTTAGAAACTTCCCTAAGCATGAAGTTGCTGATGTTTATATTGAAGTTGTTTCTGGATACCATGTGCAACAAGTCCTTAGGCATTTTTTTCCATTAGACATGGCAGACCAAAACAACAGAATGAGAATACTCAAGCTTTAAGAGCTAATGTCGGGAAAAGTCTATGACGTGTGAAATACGCCTAAAAGGTACGTAGAATTACCAAGTTGGGAGAGTACTAATTTTTTCCAAAAATGAGCAGGATCCTCTGAAACGTAAAAAAACGAACGCCAGTAGACGTGGGAAGTAACATTAAACAGTTGTGACTTACTTTTCCCTCGTTTTATGTCATGTCTTCAAAAGTAAGCATTACATAGCAAAATCGAGGGGGAATCTTTTCTTGTTTTAAGTCGACATACTCGTATATCATTGATTTCTAGTTTCATATGAAGCTGACATATTAAATATAGCATGAAGAAGCAAAGATGGTTGCTTGATAGTTTTTTCTGGCACGTGAATCGTTGTAGATGATTAAAATGCCAGTTATGACTATCAATCATATTATAAGCTTATAAGATCTTGAAAATTTTATCAAGATCCGGCTGACAGATTTTAAAAAACAGCTTCTCGATATTTTGCAAAACTTGTTGTTTCATAACATATGATAATTTGCTAGGATTCTGAAATCGATTTTTATTACCAAAAGTCAATATAGTACTTATAAAACTTACGCACGGTACTAGGCGAAGCATCGTCAAACACTTCCGATAAAAGCTTCAGCTACTTTGCAGAACATCCAGCTACGGATTCTACCTGTGGAGGAGGCTTTTCCTAATTTTACTAACATCATGCAGTTCAAAAAACGGATTAACAAATTTTTTTTAAGCTCCTCATAGCAGCTGCGGTGCACTAGTATTTAGTCTTCAGTCTGCGCGGCTGCTTCGGTATAAGAAAAAACAGCTGATTTAAAATTAGTGCAATTGTAGCTTGAAAAGTTAACGAATCTTCCAAGTAGTGATGTTGATTTTGACGCTTGGACAGCCTTCGTTTGTATACCTTAGCAAAACAGTATGTTGTACAAATATGTATAGAGAACAATAATATTTCTGGACACAAAGTTTTTCTACTAGTGGTTTCCCAAATGCAAGGTTATACCAGCACAAGACGTTGTAATAGCGTTTGGAAGTATGGAGTCCCTGTGCTCCGGAAACTAGTCGTGGAAAATCTTTGAGTCTATAGACACTTTTATTCTATGCGTTTATATCATGGGTGACTTTTTTGCTAGTATCTTTTTGGCAACACTGTTTTTCACAGATGACGCGTGAATCGTGTCTTGTGTCATTGTCAAACTTCAGTTTGGTCTATAATTTAACCATATATCGACTTACGAACGAACAACGCTTGCAAATTATTGAATTTTACTATCAAAATTCATGCTCGGTTAAGAGAGTGCATCGAGCACTGCTTCCAATTTATGGGCAATTTGGTCGGCCTACTGAGGGAGCTATTCAGAAGCTTGTGACTAAATTTCGAACCCAGATTACATTATTGGACATTAAACTATCAACACGCAGACGTAGAGTGAGGACTGAAGAAAATATTGCGGCTGTATCCGCCAGTGTTAGTGATGACCGTGAAATGTCGATTCGCCGCCGTTCGTAGCAATTGGGCCTCTGTTACTCCACTACGTGGAAAATTTTGCGACAGGATTTGGGTGTAAAACCTCATAAGATACAGCTGGTGAAAAAATTGAAGCCACACGACCTCCCACAACGTTTCCAATTTGGTGAATGGGCGCTGGCAACGTTGGAGGAAGATCCACATTTTTATCGAAAAATTGTGTTCAGCGACGAAACTCATTTCTGCTTGAATGGGTACGTTAACAAGCAAAATTGCCGCATCTGGAGTGAAGACGAGCCAGAAGCATTGCAAGAGCTTCCAATGCATCCCGAAAAAATCACTGTTTGGTGTGGATTATGGGCCGGTGGCATCATCGGGCCGTACTTCTTCAAAGACGACAATGGCCGGAACGTAACTGTGAATGGCGAGCGCTACCGTGCGATGATAACAAACTTTTTTTTGCCCAAAATGGAAGAGCTGGACTTGGCTGACATGTGGTTTCAACAAGACGGTGCCACATGCCACACCGCACACGAAACAATGGCCCTATTGAGAGGCGAGTTCGGTGAACAGTTTATCTCACGTTTGGGGCCCATCAATTGGCCGCCTAGATCGTGTGATTTAACGCCTTAGACTATTTCTTGTGGGGCCATGTTAAGGCTAATATCTACAGGGATAAACCAGCAACGATTGACGTACTGGGAGCCAATATTGAAGCATTTATTCGTGAGATACCGGCCGATATGTTGGAGAGAGTGTGCCAAAATTGGACCTTGCGCATGGGCCATCTAAAGCGGAGCCGCGGCCAACATTTACATGAAATAATCTTTAAACATTAAATTATATCGACCGTTCTATCGACTCAAATAAAGATTTAATCGTTTTTTCAAATTTTTTATGTTTTTTTTTGAAAACCAAATCCTATACCTCTTGAAAAATCACCCTTTACAACGTGCTAAACTTAAAAAATGGCTGGAAGTATTTCCCTTTAAGTTTTTTCCCGAGGTCTTTGTCAGCAGTGAATCTTTTACTTAACCACAGTTTCAGTTGTGCCTGGTTGTCTATATTGTAAATTCAGGTGTTCAAAGTCATAGATCTGTCCGTCACCTTCCGTATACTGACACGTGAGATGTGACCGCTTTATTTCTAAAAATAATTCACGAGATTTTTCAACCAATCAATCGGTTAACCGCTGAGTAATGAGGGTAAGTGGACCTTAATTCTGAATGAATTGGCACGTGAACTCAATGTTTCGAATCAAAATATTGGCACGATCTCCCGTTCGGACGTAACTCATTTAATACTATTTTGATTGATAAACATTGAAAGACTGTTCGAAGTTCGTTAGTACTACGTATTATTTTATACATATTTTGTCATGTCTGGCGATGTGTTATTTACTGTCCGCACGCGATGATGATGATTTTCTACGTGATTAAAATTTATTCGTTGAATTTATTGACTTCTCGAAATTACAAAACAATATACTGATTTATAATTGAGTGTTTGAATTTGAGCAGCGATTTCTCATAAAGCTTTTTTCGAAGAACAGAGGATTTGTAAATTTTTAAGATGATTTTTGTGCTCAATTACAATTAGCGATGAACAGAAAATGGAACACATTTCTATTGAGCTTCATTTTTTATTAGCATAACTTTGGTAAATGACAGAACATGATGAGTTTTACAGGATTCTTTTGTTCTATAATAATAAGGACATACAGGGTTTGTCCGGAAAGTAATAGGACTGAGTCAATTTAAAAAAATTGGTTGAGCCAATCGTTACAATTATTTAAAAACTTTCAAAATAGGCTCCTTCTGCGTCGATGCAGCGCTGCCACCGCGATTTCCAAGCATTGAAGGCGTCATGGAAGGCGTTCTCCGGAATCGCCTTTAGAGCCGCGGTGCATGCTGCTTGGATCCCCTCCGTCGTCTCAAAATGCTTGTCTTTCATAGGCCTTTTCAGGCGAGGAAACAAAAAAAGTCCGGGGGGGGGGGCACATCTGGGGGGCTGTAGGGCAGCTGCGGAAGCGTTGGGATGCCGGCCTTGGTCAGGTAGCTGTTCACAAAAAAGGCGGTGTGAGCCGGGGCGCTGTCGTGGTGCAACTTCCAGTCGGCTGCGATGTCTTGTCGGACCCGACTGACCCTTCGTTTGAGTCTCCTGAGCACTTCCACGTAAAACTTGGCGATGACGGTTTGTCCAGGAGGAACAAATTCATGGTGGACGATGCCTTTGATGTCAATCAAAACAGAAAATGAG